TAAAAAAAAAAAAAAAGAACACTTCACTAGTATGACTACGTGAATACGCTGGTTGAACATTCTATGATTTTGTCATCTATGATTTTTGTCATCCAATGGACAGATGAAGACTGCATGCATATGTTATGAGGAAGAAAGAAATAGCATAAGCACGCGGCTAAATTTGACCAAAATGCCCCTGAATAAGTTTGAAGAAGATGATAAATTCGATGTGGGCCCATCGGCCTATGTAATTGCACTTTACACCACCAATGGCATGGGGAGAGGTTGAGACACCCGTGACTCCCCCAGCTAGCACCATGTGAAAGTATTTTTTGTCATCACATTTCCTACAAAAAAATGTGTGCTATTGCCCGTTTGTTTATATGCATCACTGTCTACCACACTAGCTTCAATTATTGAAATGACAAAATATCCATTCCATTCGACTTCACTAAATTATACTCCCTCCTACTTTTATTATTTGTCATTTTGAGGAACAACACGCTAATTAATAATTTATTTTTGTATTCAATATTAACCCTATTTAATGGATGTTATGGGAAACAATGAAAATGAAATATGAAGAGAAACTGTGCATTAGATAGAGGGTTAAAAATGAAAAAAATATAAACAAAATAACCAAAACGACATTTATTTAATCAATTATCAACTAAGCCAGGATGACAAATAATAAAAATGGGAGTATTAATTATTCTTTAAAAGAAAAATTGCTTTGTATAATAAACTCTACTTTATTGTCGAGGATCCCTAATAGTAAAAATTTTAAAAAATGTGAGACTGAAATACTTTATGATTGAATTTTTAGTTGTTATCGTGCCCTTTATATTATGCTTAGGTTTATTTTCTGGAAGTCTGGCACAAAGCACGCTTATAGATAGTTACGGTGTTAACTTTGTTTTATGAATTAGTTTATATGTTTTGCAATTCCACATTTTTTAATTTGGAATATTTGATTGTTGAGTATATGAATTAATAATATACTAGTACAACACCCGTATATTACACGAGTGCTTGTTAAAAAAAATTCTTAAATTTTAAAATTAATGAAAAAACTATATTAAATTTAGTTTACTCTTTTACAAAAAAACATATTACTATATATTTAAGAATGATATGTGTTACTTATGACTTACATGTGTTATATTATATTAGTTTTTATAACTTATATCATATGACTACTTGAAATATAAATATATTAGTTGATAAATAATTTTATTTTTCTAATTAATATTAAAAATAATT